GTATGTTGGGGGGGGAAGAAACAGATATTATATGTATGTTGAAGTGTCTACGAACTTCAACATACATACTATAATCTAAGGTCATAAGTAATGGTATAGCGCAGAATACTGCGTATTGCCATATGCCATATTATATGGTAAATCTATTGCAGATTCATAAATGCATAATGTTAAAATATACAAATGCTATATAAATAGCGTAATAGTGTAATAGACAAACATGTGTATGCCTGATTTAGGGCCCTAAAGCTAAGGTATAAATATCTAGTATAGATATTAGATACATACTCCGTACCAGGCAGCATAAATTCACACATACGACACATGGTACAAATAGAGTGTAGAGACACAATACCCTGCAGGGCCTGCCAAAAAAAAAAAAGGCTCAAACAGATTGATGCCAACATGTTTATGCATATTTCATGTTCACTTTTACGGGTGTAAACTGCCAGTATCTCTGGGCCCCTTTTCCCAGACATACCGATAAAAGCTGAATCAGTGTGGGCATGCTTTTTTATGTTGTTTGCTCGGTTCCGCTAGCCATTGTGCTCCGGTACGGTGATCCCCGAATGACGCGGATCGTTAACGGCCACCTGGAGACAGAACGACCCAGGAGTGATACTGGTGGTTTAAACCGCCGGAACTTTGCCCAGTGGTTTAAACGGCCGGAACTTTCCCTAGTCATTTTTTCCTATGCTGCCGTTACCGCGCCGCGGGTTTCGTGTGTCGGTCATCCGGAGCAAAATGGCTGCCGGCGCCAGCCAAAAGGAGGCCGATAGTGCTTCGTTCCCCCCCCCCCCCATGCAAGTTTGTTTTGAATCTGTACACCACATGTAGAGATTAGCCAAAATGTTAACCGGAGGCGAGCTGGCGAGTGCTTTGTGAAATTTCATCAGCTGGACATCTTGTATAGTTCAGGGGAGCGGACTCCGAGGGAAGTGAAGTGTAGATAAGAGAAGAAGGTTCTGTGCCAGGGCGCCGAAGTTGTAGACGATGGCTGTCATTGTTCGCCAAGCCCTGCCGTCTGGCATTGTTTGCAAGCCCTGCTGTCGTCAGCGTCACACCCCTGTGAAGACGAGACGGTCAACGAGTTGCAGAAGGCGGGTAGGTGTATCTTCTTGTGGGTCCTGTAGGAGCAGGAACACAGGCAGAATGTATCCAGAAGAAGATACGCCTGCCCGCCTTCTCCAGCAGAATGTATCTAACACAGGCAGGTTTATAGACTTTATAGGAAGTGGTGGTGGATGAGCAATAGAGTGTCTTCCAGCGAGTTGAAAAACATCAAACGCAAGGGAAAACTGCATTGGAAGTGCAGTTTTTTTTTCATCTCATCTTTGCAGGAAGATATGTCGATGTCTACGGTATATATGGTATGCAACAGAGGAATAGAATAAATTTGAATATGGTAATCAGAGACCTCGATATGTTGTCCTTTGGGACATCCGTTATAATTGGAATGATACTGAGAAGATTTCATGACCTCTGGGCAAGGATGACACTCGTAAAACGAGAAATGGTCCATAGACTCCATACCCTTTTTTTTTTTTTTTTAAAGAAGAAAGAAAAGATGAACAGCAACAACAACAACAACAACAACAACAACAACTGCAGGTGTGGGATGTCTGATGGATGGAATCGTTGGTGTGAGGAGATCTGCAGGCGTGCTGTGCTGTCTTGAACCACCAGCGTACTTTCGAGTGGCGTCTTCCCAGGGCTGTAAACGCCTTGCACGCCAAAGAAAAAGGACTGTGGGCCTCCTCTTTTGGCTGGCGGAAACCAGCCATTTTGCGCCGGCACCCTACCCCCAAAAGTTGTGCCATGCATGGAGCTGCGTTGAAGAGAAAGGACTGGGAAACGTAGTGGTAGAGTTTAAAGCGGTGTCCAATAGGTCTCCCCGTCTGGCACGCCACAGCTCTCAAGTGGTCTGGCATGCTGACCAGTTACTCATCAAGAGGGGTCAGGCTTTGCCGCCTCTGTTGTGTACGCAGAGCTGTGCGTACGCAACAGAAGTGGTCAGGCTTTGCCGCCTCTGTTGTGTACGCAGAGATGTGCGTATGCATACTCTGTTTCTACTGGTTTGAGACTTCACGTGCATTGCTATTAAAAGCCCTACGCACCTCTGCACATGTTCCAAGAGCACGGGAAGGGGTGATGGATGTGGGTGCTGAGCTGTATGATGGATTGATAAGTGGAGGGTGGCCGCGTGCGTTCATCAGCTTGATTACTGCTGCTATGAGAAGGATGACCGTTTGCCCGTAATCATTTTTATAATGGCAAAAAGGTTAAGAAACCCCAGAAAATGGATTGGCTTGCGACACGAGCGATCTGCTGTGCTGACAGTGGAATGGGACGTCGTTGCTTCTTGATGATTGTTGTCAGGTTGCTGTGTGATGAAGAGCATAGACTAGGAAGGCGAGGGGCGCAAGAGATCAAGGCTCATCCTTGGTTCAAGAACCTGGACTGGGATAGGCTGTACGAGACGGAGGCGGCGTTCAAACCAGAGGTGAACAGTGAGCTGGATACACAAAACTTTGAGAAGTTTGAAGAGACGCTGCCTGCCTCCGGCAAGCCGCAGAAGATAGGGCCATGGCGAAAGATGCTTTCGTCCAAGGATGTCAATTTTGTCGGTTATACATATAAGAACTTCGACATTGTGCAGGACGCTCACGCCCCGTTGGTGGACCTGAAGAAGAAGCCGAAGCCGAAGAGACCGTCCATTAATTCTGTGTTCGATATGCGAGGTGCTGTTTCGTCGTCCTCGAACTCGTCGTTGTCGTCACTGGGAAACGGCGGGTGCCCTAGTTCAGGGAGCGGCATAGGTAGCGGCGCTTTCATGGGTCAGAGAATCGGAACGGGAAGTAGTGTCCCGATGGATATATCCCCACCTGGGTCGCCGGTTGCGGGACCTCGAACGCTGCCGCACTACACGCCCCAGCCGTTACCCACATCCCGATAATTGCTGGCGTCCTCAACGCGCGCTGGCCTGCATCGCTTTGGAGACGAAGTCGAAAGTGATCAAAGGTCTTCTGTCCTGTTGGTGAACGGAAACGGAAGGAGTCGGTGGTTGTACTGGTTTTGTGTGACAATGGGATGACGATGTCAACGACCGAGGTCCTCGTTGCTTCTCTGCCACCTTCACTTGACATTCTCTCTTGGTCCCCGTCTTTCTTGTGCTGTTGGAGTATGTGACTTATGTGTACAAGGGGTGGGGAGAGGGGGAAGGAGGGGAGGGGGGTTGTTCTGCAGGAAAGTGACTGCTCCCCAAATCGAATGAGACGTTCAATAGCTGCTTTCTGCTGGGAGTGTGCAAGGGGCAGAAGGGGTGGGGGAGAGAGGGGGAGGGGGAGGGGGAGTGGGGGAGGAGACACAGCAGGGGAGCGGATTGAAGAGGGGGAAGGAGGGGAGAGGGATTGTTCTGCAGGAAAGTGACAGCTCCCCAAATTGAATGAGATGTTCAATAGCTGCTTTCTGCGGGGAGTGTGCAAGGGGCAGA